TGTGCACATGTAGGTAATTGCATGTAACTTTCATAGCCACGCCCGGCAATAAAAATCACATGGAAATTGCGAGACGCAAACTTGCATACTTTGCTATGAAATCCACATTTCAAACCAGTTCCATGTGTGTCAATAAACAACACCATCTCTAATTAATTATTTATTTATTTATTTGACAAACTATCGTAAAAATGTATATGTGACTCATAATTACGTGTGATCACTAGGAAGTTCAGTTTACAATACAATGTAGTTTCTATTATGCTGAAATCAGCAAATATTAGTTCAATTGTTTTGTGCTGAGGCTCATAAAATCTTAATATTACTGTTTTATCGTAATTTGATGCTTTTAACCAGATTTAATAGTTTATTAGTTTATCACATTGCAAGTTTACCGCACACATGATGTGAATTCACTGGATACCTTAGCAGCTAAAGTTCTGGCTGATTGTTGTTGTGAACTCAATCTTCTCAGAAAGTAATCTAATATTTCAGCTGTAGTGTGGGCTTCTTCTCCATGCAGCAAAGACTTCAATCTTGCTAACAACTGTTCTTGCTTTCTCAGTTTCTAGAAATAAACAGTTTTCATCATTTACTAACATAACAGGGTATTTACATAAGGATATGTACACCAAATAGTCAGAAAAATATGTATAATACAAATAATCAAATGAGAAGGCATGTTGCCAAATATGCCAAGAATACTGAAAAAAATCACGCTTTTAAAGAGTGCTATGGGCCAAAAAAAAATTTTCAAACAAGAATCGTCTACTTAATCCACATCAGCACAGTAGGTCAATTATCTGACTACATTTGATTATAAATAAACAATTGTTTACATGTATGTCTATGTTAAGAAACTTTGGACAGATTACCGATAGTCATTTTTGTGAAATAGAAGAAGAAAATGATTCAGACAAACCTGTTTCTTTTTATGTTGTTCAATTTTACTTTCTTCATCTGATAGTCATCCATATTTATTTCCATTTCTGTTGGTGCATCATGAAGTAAGAACTCACAAAGACATTGTACTGGTAGTACGTCTAGTGAACCCTCGCTGGATTCTACTAACTCTGCTAACCACGGCATAGACTGAGATGTACCCTACAATTATATAAAATGGACAACAATATACCAGTAATCTATTACAAGGATATCGCAAAGAGGATTATATGTAGACAATATCATGCATACTTAATAATAACCTCAATAACATAATAACCTTATTATTATACATCTTTCTGATTCATTGATATCGATAGGGAAAATTATGACAACTTTCTTTCTACAAACCATGGCAACATGTCCGCCATCTTAGAAATATTGCATAAACCTTCCATGTTTATAATTCATATATTTGTACTTAAAGGTAGAATGCTGATATTTTGTGCAATATCTGTTAAATTGTACTTGCATTGTGAATGGTCAAAAATACAATGAAATTATTCTGAATGCTAGGTCATGATTGGTTATATTGCCTACCTGCCGCTGAATAATATCCAAGAGAAAGTCAGGTGATCGACTTCTACATAATAATGTACCCATCTTAATAGTGTTGTTAAGACTTCGCAACTGTTCTAGAATGTGAGGAGGTGGTTTCCTAGCAACGCCACTGAAAAATCAAGACATGATTACAATTTTTAATGTTTTTCACAATACTGAACTCATTTTTCTCATTTGATACTTCAAAGGTCATTTTCACTTGAAATATACAAAAATTTAAATTGAATATTTGAAATATTTTAAAATGAAACTTACTGTGGGTCCATACTTGTGAGCTGAGCAAGCAATAGACTGGAACTTTCATCTATAAGCATTCGAGTAGATGCTGCAGCAAGGTGACTTTCAAATTCTAATATATCTTGTTTTTCAATCTGAGCCAGCTAAACATTTAGATTAATTGTCAGTAATTGATGATAGAATAGTTTCATTATATCACTTTTGAAGACTAAGTAAGCTTTTTTCACATAGAAATAAAAATAATTCGACACAAGTAGTTTTTTCATTATTTTTTTTGAGCAAAGCCTGTATAGGCAAACAAATATCTCCACTTGGTCTAAAATAAACAAAAAATACATAAAAATATTGCCTGAAAAAAATATATATCACCAAGAATGAACATTCCTATAAAGTGGGTAATTGTTATTCAAGTTTATGCATATTGAACAGAACATTGAATCTGTATGCAAATTAGATGAAACACTAAGACGTGTTAGATATGTACTTTACAATTGGAATGTCTTTAAAGCTGTCAAATGGGATATTAAGTTTACAATCCTCAAAATATCAGATTT